ATAAATAAATATTGCATCTGCAAAAAACTTTGGCAACATTATGGTCGCGCGGCGTTCTACCTTCGGACGGCAATATCCAAGTCGAGAGCCGGATGAAGTGAACTAGAGTGTTGATGCTCAACTCGCGTAACTTTTTCACCGGCTAACTAGACCAACACGGTGCTAATTAGTCATTTATTTACAGCCTTCCTCCTCCCTCTCCACCCACACACTTCACAATTTCCAAGCATAATGACGGGCTGACGGCGACGGCTGACTGCGAGAGAACTTATTGTTAGAAAGCCTGTACATAAGGCTAGTAAATGTCATCTAAATTCTTTTCTTATACAGAAAAGAGCATGCCGCTTCGTGATTGGTCAACCAGCCAGACGAACTCATTTGATTCTCATTAACGGAAAATAGGGAACAAAACTCGTTTAAACCGAATAAGGGATTTGAGAAACATGGCATCTGGCATAAAAACTTTGGAAAATAGTATCCGAACTGAATTAGTAAGACGTCAAAAGAAAAAAGAAAAAAAAGGATAGTAATTTTAGATCGCAAGACTGTTCAAAAGTCTCGCTTTTGCATTCAGCAGGGCGTAACGTATACAGAAAATTAAAAATGAAATGAAAAACTTTCTCACAATGAGCCAGAACCCTGTCCTGCATATAATTAAGTGTTATTGCCAGAGGTTTTTCGGATCCTTTTCGTGCTTTGTAATTTTTGTTATGCGTTTCATTGTCACTGATGATGGGTTAACAGGACCCGAGAGGCCTTTGCCAATACTGTCTGATTACAAACAGGGTTTTGGTTTATAATGAATAATTTTTTTGATTTGATTTGGAATTGCCTACATTTTTTTGTTTGATTTGAGGGATCACTTTTTGGACTCAATGCTTCTAAGTGAGATATACTCAGAGACATGGAGAGGCCCTTTCTTCGGGTGACGTAATAAGCCAAAAAAGTTTGCCAAACTTAGGCTCGTTTGCAAAACGGAATACTCACACGTTGTGGAACATTCACCTGGTAGGTGGGTTACCAAGTGAGAGTACCGAAAGTTAAAGCTTACACCATTGTCAAGATACCGATAAAGCGTCTCAATTCGTCTCTGGAGCAACCGTAATAATTTTCTAATCCGAGCTCATGTCGATTCATTTTTCACCGACGAAGACTTTCCATGCATGCTGCCCTCAGCAGGAAAAACGAGAAGGAAAAACTCTCCGACCGAAGTATAGTAGTGTATATATGAGGATATACCGCCAAATTTGACCTTTAAGACGGGAGCTACGTGACCCCGGTGTGAGATCACTGGTTGCGGGTTGCCTACCTATCGTTTCGGCACTTGACCTTTAAGTCGGGACCTATGTCACGTGACCCGGGTGTGACGTCACTAGCGACTGGTTAATTGTTGCGGGTTGCCTACCTATCGTTACCACTGTTGTAAAATTGTGCAGAAAAATCGGAATTAATTTACGGTGTTGATTGGGTGATGGGTGTTTTAGCGGATGATATGTCAACAATGTTTTCATGCTATGACGTCACTATCGTTGTGAAATTGAGCGGGAAAATTTGAATTAATTACGGGTGATGGGTATTTTAGTGTATAAAATGACANCCGAAACGATAGGTAGGCAACCCGCAACCAGTGATCTCACACCGGGGTCACGTAGCTCCCGTCTTAAAGGTCAAATTTGGCGGTATATCCTCATATATACACTACTAAGTATGACTTCTCCGAAACGACCCAGTCAGTAAATTTCTGAGATGTGCATCACGACATAACAATGAGACGCTCATTGTTGGGAACTGCATTACCAGGTGCTTACACGCACAGGCACTTAACAGGAACAGCGCAATAAGCGGGTACGACTCACAATCGGCTAATTTGATTGCCTCCTTCGTTATTCCACGCATTCGCGTACCTGTGGAATGTTCACCGAAGGAACATGTCGTCGCTCTGCTAACATAAAGGACCCAACTCCATTTTCGCGAGAACCCTAAAACCATGGAGTTATACGGACAAAAAGCTCTCCACACGGTGAAGTTACGTTATTCCGTCAGAGGTTAGGAGTGGGAGGGGGGTGGGGTGAAACCGCGTCTTTGGGTCTCACCTTTCTGCTAAAACAATGCCATCGAATGGGATATTCAGCGGTTTCCGGAATTCGAACGAGCAAAATGTTGCCTAACTTTTACTAAAGTTCTTTTCTCGCTGTGCCGGTAGGAATTCCGTTTTACCGCTTAAGTATCCTTCTGCGTGCAAATATGCCTACTGTTATCGCGATCTGATTCGTATTATTATATTAATTTATACAGGAGGGAAATGGAAAGAATTCTACTCGACTCAGTGGCGCACTATTTACTATGCTAAAAACCAACCGAGACCAATTAAGATGTTTTCTCCCGTGCGTGAGTCAACTCGCGAGAACGTTCGAAACTCCAGCTCAAAGTTAAAATACGAGGATTTACGCTGCCTGCACGATAACAGTTTAATCATTTTTTGAAAGCGATTTGATTAGGATCTTCTTAGCCTCATTTATACATATGTTACGGGTAATCTAGTCAAACCGGGTAATGTCGACATTACCCGGTTTGACTAGGTTACCCGTAACACATACATAAAGCCGCTTTTATAGCGCAGCCTCGCGCTCTGCGACGCCCAATCGCCATTGCCCCCTATCCTCCCAGAAATCATCAGGCAACTGGCACCTTCTGATCTCCTCCTCCACCCCTTGTCGCCAACCTTTCACAGAACGTCCACGCCGTCGCCTTCCGGGAGGAACCCAATCGAAAACCTGGTTGGGCAACCGATCGTCTGCCATTATTTATAATGCCTCCTCTATTTATAATGAAAACCAAGTGGGACCTACTCTGTCGTGATAGAGAAAAACGCTGTGTATGAACATTTGAAAGTTGCCAAAATTTGTCTGATAAGAAATTTATTTTAGATAAAAGTCTTGCATATTTTTACTTAAAATTCATAGATATTAAGGATCAAAGTATGTAGTTAATTGCCGAATAACTAACTTTCAAAATAAATTCGTATCTTATCAAAAGAAATTTGACAATGCCCGGAGGTTAATACGGTGTTTGCTCTTAGCACGACAGTACTGAGGAAAGGAGCTGTTGCTGTTCGAGGAACAGTATGAATGAATACGACCCTTCGTTTTACTAAGTAAACAGCACTGATGTTTTACCCGATTTTTCAAAATTCCAGTCTTTTCCGTACGATTCTCTATTGACTCATTTTTCTGATCCGATGGAAGTCTTGGACAATTCCTGATTTTCCAGAGCTCTGATGCCTTCATGAACTCGGGTCTTTCTTTTCGTACATAGTTTCCAAAGCATCTTCGGAAAAACTTGCGGGTTAATTATTGAAATTGATTGACACAGTTGTAGACAAAGGAGACGAAGAGAAAATGGAGCAATCCTACTGGTGGAGGCGTGTGGTTGCAATGAAACTAGGGAGGCAAGTAAAACGGCAACCCACGAGAGACCCTAAAGCTATAATTAATCATTTCCCCCTTAGACTATCACAACCACCAGTTCCATCCGAAGAGATCGCTCCATTCCTTCTTTGTCTTTTTGTCAATAGCTTTGTCTATTACTTTCAATAATCAGCCAGCTGTGGTGAATAAAAGCTCGGGCGCCTTGATTCTTGGACAGAGAGCGCCCAACTTGACAACAGAAGAAGATCGGACTCACGACTCGGGAAGGAATTCAAGAACGGTCGCTGGGATGATCGGGGTCCGCGGCCGGGAAGCCAGGGAGCAAGCAGATGAGCGAGGAAAGCGCCTAGCGCCATGCTATGGAATGAGCATCCCGGTATCTCTCATCTCCCGATTCAACGACAAAATAAAACCACAGAGACGTTGAATATACATATCGACGGTGAAACTACCAAACCACGTATCTCGTTTGCGGTGTTTAAAAATCTACGCTCACATTTAATTTTTTTGAAGTAGACCAAATCAATGTCATTCCTTGAAATTTTCACGGAATTTTCTCCGCACAAAGAGGAAAAATTATAGAAATTTTCAAGACTGGATGTTAAGTAGTTTTTCATTTAAAAAATAAAGTATGACAGGAAGTCTGCGACGTCGCAAACCGAGATACGTGGTTTGGTAGTTTCACCGTCGATATACTCACTGTCAGTGTAATAAAGGACTTAGCTTAATAGCCTGTGACGCTGAATGTCTCAAAATGTACTAACTAACTAACTTAGATTTGCGTCCACCAACAATTGAGATGTTGCATGTGTGAGGAATTTGCAATTTGACACTTGATTCTTGGGTAAAAGTTTGCGAGGAACACGATGGTGCCACTGGTTTTCTCTGAAATCAACTCCCAAGCTCAAAAAAAAGCTCTCAAATTGAGGTCAAAATGGAGGGGATATCCCACGATATCCTGAGAGTCCACCTCTACATCAAGACCAACTCTCCAAGCACAGATAGGGAGCAAATACATTGACAGGGCTGCCACCTTATTTGGGGACTCTAAACCTGAAATCACGGCAATGCTGTCAATGTATTTCCTCCCTATCTTTGCATGGAGAGTTGGTCTTGATGTAGAAGTGGACTCTCAGGATAGCGTGGGATATCCCCTCCATTTTGGCCTCAACTTGAGAGCTTTTTCTAAGCTTGGGATTGATTTCAGAGAAAATCAGTGTCTCTATCGTGTTTCTCGCGATCTTTTACAAAAGAATCAACAGTCAAATTAATCGCAAATCCCTCACACATGCAACATCTCCATTCACCAAACACAAAATATGTACATAAACGCTTTCCTTCGACGGGGGACGACACCAGTGGCGTGGCGTGCTTTGCGATATATCGATTGATCTGTCGTCTAAACCCATGGAAAAGGATCGATGGACAGAGTGTTCGCAACGAACATCTTAATAATCGATTCTTTACCACAGCTTCAAACGTAGGAATATCGACAATCGATGATTTGAGCCTATCGCCACTGGACGACATAACCATTAAGCACAATTATTAAGAGAGGCTCTTTTCACTTACGTTGATGAATCAAAAAGTTTTGGGTTGAAGCTTTACTTTTCCTACGTCTTGCATTGTTTTTTGGACTAAACTCAGAGTGAACGGTTTTTTCCTGTTTGTGAGTTTTACCTGAAAAAAGATAGAAAAAAAGTGATTAGATTATTTCAGATCATCGAAATTATAGACTTTAAGCAAATGTTGTTTCCAGAATGTTCTTCAAAGGGCGTAGAAAATGACGGGACGTTCGGAAGTGAATCCCTGAGGAAGATAGAAGTATTGGTGTATTTTTTATCAATAAGATTAGTTGAATTACAAGAACACAAATATTGTCATCCGTGTTCCGTTTTGTCATTGTTAAGCACGCGTGTGAATATAGTTCGCTGCGAGGAGTTCATTTCCGAACTTTCTAGCATTATCTTAAAATTTTTGAAGCGTAAGTATACAATATGCATGGTATTTAAATTCGCGCCTTGTCCGGCGGACTATGCCGTTCAATTTAGAAGCCGATGGTACTTAATTTCGTGTTATAATGAAAAAAATACATGAAATTTCAGAAACCTGCAAAATGTCCACTTCACGATATCGGGCGGTGTCGCCCAACCACCCAAGCACATAATGCCCATGAGAGAATCGAGAGATTCCCCATGTCGCTATTTCTGCACTGCATATCGAAAGGATATTACCATATTTTCTTTCCCACCTACAGCCGCGAGACAATACTTGATATGTTGCCATGTTTTAAGCTAACCATCCTGCCAAAATCGACGATAATTGCATAAAGAAAATTCAATCACTGCTGGTAGTACGAGTATGAATAGATCTCTGAGGGTCGAGGATTGAAAATACCCAGGATCTCTCAAAAAGAGTTATACACCGTCATTTCCCGGACGGAGGAACATAACTCCATTCAAAGGTTGCCAAATTAGCCCAAACAATTCAAATTTTGACAAGAATGAATCTGTGCTTTTTCCTTCAAGTTTATGGCGACTTTCGCAAGGGATCGGTAGAAAAATCACCGAAATTTTCAGTTCTAAATGCCCAAGACTCTCCTAGTAGAAATGCAGTTTGCAAAGGGAGATTTGGCAACTTTAAAATTTAGTTACACAGGTAAAAAAGTAGCTTGGATGTAAAGTCCAGACTCTTGGAAACAATGACAAAAAAAAATACTCTTGATTCAATCGGATATTTGCTTGAATCAAAAGGAAATCCGCTTAAATTAAGAGGTTTGGTTCTTGATCGAAGCAAAAGTCCGATTGAAAGAGTATTTTTTCTTGTCAACGTTTTTAAGAGTCTGGAATGTAGACCCAAGCTACTTTTTTTCCAGTGTACGTTCTTTCGTGAGGGAAACGACCACAACACGAGCGTTGTAAGAGCTCGGGTTTTCCGAAACACGACGAAATAAAGCGGAAGATAGACTTGGCGTTTGAGTGCGGATCGAAAGGAGTAACGCCACATTATCGTCTCTTTTCCGCCGTAAACGCGTATCTCGATTTCCGTATGAGCCGCGGAAAGCACAGAATCATACGGGAAACAGGGCTCACGTGAAAATTGAGGTACGCCCTTGCGTCGGAGGGGCGACGTTATGAGCGCGTCAGGCAGGGCGTAGATCAAATCTCTCGTTTCGCGACCTGAACTTTCAGCACGGTGAACGACGACGTTACGACGTTACGCCACGGAATTACGGCGAGACGTGAGCAGGGGGCGGGAGGGAAGGGGAGGCGCGGAGAGGAAGACAGGACAGGCCGAGAAGGGACGGGAATGGAAAGAGGTTTACGATCCGGCCGAAGGCTCATGCTTTAGACCGGGATCAATTTATCATGTTTCATTGCTTATTGTTTCACTTATCGCCGACGAAAATTACCCGGCGCGGGTTAAGACTCCGACTTCGCGCCACGCCGAACAGTGGATCCAGTCAATCAGAGAGGTCGGACAAGAAATGTTTAACTAAAACTGCAAATTATGATGTTTAATTTGTCGAATTTTGAATCTGACGGTTGCCACTGAAAGAAAATTTCACGATGAATACTAAATGTCTACTAAAACAGGCTGGTCAAAAAAAGTACTTTTACAGTATTTTTTCAGTACATTCTCAAGAAATTTGCCAGCACCTCCTCCAACAGAGAAATTCCGTACTTTTTCAGTACCTCCATTTGATGAAATCCGAAAAATTGCAAAAATTTCGAATTGCGACAAAAATTACGAAAAATTCCGGACTTTTTCGCGAAATGTACTAAAATCGGGTCAATCAGAGAGGTCGGACATAAAATTTTTAACAAAAACTGCAAATTTTGGTGTTTAATTTGTCGAGTTTTTAATTTGAAGGGTTGCCTCTGAAAGACAATTTCACGAGGAAACCAATGGAACCGCTTTTAAAACCTCAAAGTTTTGTATGAGCGGAGTTAAAAGCTGTTAAAGTTTCCAAATTTTGTCCGACCTCTCCCGTTGACTCGATTCACTGTGCGCCGCCTCCGGAGCTCCGCCAATATTGCTGCGCTAAGGAAAAACGCCGCATGAGCCGTCAGATGTTGTCAAATTTCCTTCGACAAATCACGAGTTTTCCAGAAAATTTATGAATATTTCTGATCCAATTTTTCAGAGGATTTCGTTCGGCATTTGACCTAAAAAGTCTGAGAATTTCACGGAAACATAATCGTAACATTTTTCAAAATTTGATACTTAATAGAAGGAAATTTGGCAACATTTGAATGCTCAAGCGGGGTTAATACTTAACACGGCAGAATATGCGAGCCAGCTTGTGGATTTGTTCTGTTTCGCTAAAAATGGATTTTTTGTATTGAAGCCTAGAATGACGGGTGCAGGCAATGGACCACTGAACAAGGTGCAACTTACAGCATCATGAGATTTCGTCCGATTCCTACGGGGACACTCGGAATCAAACATTTCTCTACTTAATCAGGATGTCTACTAAAACAAGCTGCCCAAAAATCAGTACTTTTACGGTACTTTTTCAGTACATTCCCTAGAAATTCAGTACTTTTTCAGTACCTTCATTTATGACGAAATTAAAAAAATTTCAAACATTTGAATTTCCCTCTCAAATTGCGACAAAAATGAAAAATTCCGGACCTATTAGCAGAATTTCCGCGCATTTTCAGTACTTCCGGACCGCGCTTTCAAACTCAGTACCAGTTCCGGAAATTCCGAACTTGTAGACACCCTGTTAATGCTAAAATTTCCTGATTTTTCTCTGAACTTCTCTTGGCCCTCGCAACTCGGCTTGAGATTTTCTTTCCTTTTTTCGGAATCCAAGGTAATCAACGACGTAACGTGGGGTTGAGCGTAGTCGATGGCGGTTCGGATGAGCAGCTCGGGACTCATCGGGAAGGAGGGAGGGGGTGAAAATGGGGAGGGAAGGGATATAAATCACCTCGCGGACAGACAAGTCTCCAACTGAACTGAACTGCCACGTCGCGTCGTGTCGCCGTGGAATGCCCTCTCGCTCGTCCCGTCCGGGTCTGGCCCGTGCTGACGTGCTAATAAGGAAGAACGCCGTACGAACCCTGGGACGTTACCAAATTCCCTTTGATAAAATAAGAATTTTCCGGGAAGTCCGTTAACAGTTTTCCTTCAAATTTTCTGAGAATTTTAGTCGCAATCGGATCGAAATAATATGAAAATTTGAAGAGAAAATGCTAGTAACTTTCCTTAAAATAAACAATTTATCGGAAGAAATTTGGCAAATCTCGACTGTTCATACGGCGTTTTTCCGTAGCACGGCAGAGTGGCCCGTGCTCCTTCCGAACGGCACACAGTGGACCGAGTCGATGGGAGAGTTCGGACATGAAATTTGCGACTGAAAAATTGAGAATTTTAAAGTTTAATTCGTAGCATTTTGAATTTTACGGGGTGTCTCAGAAAAAAAATTTCACGGGGAAACCAATGGAACTACTTTCATTTGTATGAACGGAGTTATGAGCGTTTGAAGTTTTCAAATTTTGTCCGACCTCGCTTCCTCTTACGTTCCTTCTCTCCCTATTTTTTCCAAAGAACCTCCTGATGACTTCACTCGACTCTACGCGGCATTAACGGATAAACCACGCGATGAGATTAGAAAGTGCCTTCACTCACAATGGCAGCTCCACAGAAGCTTCACACCTTTCACTTGAGCTCCACACAAACTGTAAACAGTCTTAAATTTCGAAGCAGGAATTTCTTGAAATTGAGATCTGACGGCATCTGAGATATCTTCAGGATGCTTTATTTTGATTCTGAGTCCAAGTTTCTAACTTAATTTTATTGTTAAGAAATAATCATTTAACAGGGTGTCTAGTTTTTATCAGTTTGGGAAATCCTGATTTTTCCTGATTTTTGACCTCTAAATCCTGATTTCATATTTTTTCAAAATCCTGATCAAATCCTGACCCTTCGCGGCGAAAAATTAACGGACGGATAGCAGAAAATTAACGAAAATGAGCGGACGGCTAACTTTTCTCAAATCCTAACTTTGCGACCGATTTTCCTTCAAATCCTGTTGAAATCGGGATTAAATCCTGATAGACCTCAAATCCTGATAGAATCGGGAAAATCTGGAAAATCCTGATGCTAGACACCCTGTTTCATGATGGTGATAATGACATGATAACTCGATGTCCTCAACGTCCTCGATCCAACACAAAACGGGAGTTCCGACAAAAACGGCGACATTGCGGAGGAAACAACGAAGAAGGGGTGGGTGAGTTGCGTAAGGGAGCGGTGGGGAAGGGGAAGAGGACAATTTCCTGTGGATTCCTGATCGAGGCTCGGCGGCGACCGGAAACCGCCCCTGGAAGATCGCATTTCCGCTTGAGTGAAACCGAAACGGAGCAAGGCATAGGTAAAAAGTAGGGAGAGCATCGAGAAGGTGATGCGTGCTATGATATGAGGCAAAGTGGCACTTCTTCATTTCTGGCTTATCTTGCTTTAGAATAACAAGGCATAAGAATAACGCGTCAGGAGGTGTAAGAAGAAGAAAAATAGATCAGCCACATTGGGTACGAGAATAATTGAGTAATAGAACCGAAAACCGTACACAGGTACAGAAATGTTGGCTAAAAAATAAGAGCAGAAAAGGCCTCGATTCACGCTCAAATTTCCATCAATTTCCGATCAAATTGTGACTGGTGCGCACC